CCCCAAAACCCCAAAACCCCAAAACCCCAAAACCCCAGCATCTGTGACAGTTATTGAAACTTAAGAATTTACCAAGCTCCTGAAATATCCACATGATCTAGTCCACAGTTCTCCAAGATCTCCTTTATTTCTTTCTTCTTCATTCCACACCAACACATCCACACCTTCTCCAAGTTTTCCCTGAGGGTGTCGACCTGTGCGAGCCCAGCCATCAAGTTGCTGAAGCACGAGCTGTCCTTCCCCCAGTCTCCATGGGCGCTATCTCCTGAGGAGGAGAAATCTAATTCTCGAATGTTGGAGTTGGCCATGGAGTCAGGGAAGGAAGGCACAGAGGGCATTTGTAGAATGCAGGAGTAGAAGGCAAAGAATGTGACCTTGTGAAAGGCAGCGAGGAGGGCGATGGTCTGGGGCTGGGAGATCTTAAAATTGTAAAGACGAATGTCCTTTGTCACACAAGGAGCAGCAGCCAGCAAGGCAGAGTAGTACAAGTCAATGCTAATCAGAGCAGAACCATGATTAAAGTAAAACCTCTGAACGGTTTTGGGGAAATATTTGGCAACACAATGCCTTGCCTCCTCTTGACACTCTCTAGGAATATTCCTAATCACCAATCTTTCTAAATCAGGAAGTCTTTTGTCAAGCCCTTTGATCACCTTCATATCTCCTGGTCTGTTCATCCTTAGACTGAGCCCAGTAACTGGTCCAAAAGGCCTCTGTCAGCCCTGTTGAAGCCAATAGTAGTAGTCGAAGCCTGCCGAAGAGAAGTGGAGTCTGTCCAAAGCGGGTTTGGGCTGAGCGGGTTGTTGCAGTGAAGAACCTTTATCTTCAAGATTAAATAAGAGCCACTACCTCCTCCTTGAGAAGTCTCCAATAAGATTCATCCTTAAACTTAGCAAAGATATCTTGCTTGCTCATAGCCTTCTTCAGCAGATTGATTTCTTTATCAAGATCTTCAAGTTCACAGAGTCTCCCTTCTTCAATGTTGCTGGCCCTAAGTTTAAGTTGAGCTAGCTGGTCGACCCAGTCTTGATGCAATATCTCGGCATCTTCTTCGCATCTTTGGCAATCTTGGATGTATTTCAAGAAGTTCTCCAGCGCCTTTGAGACAATACTTGTCTTAATTTTGAAGCTCCTCACGGTAGGTTTTGTCTGGTCTTCACTCTCCAGTGGTTTTAGATCAAATGAGTCCTCTTGGAGAGATTCTTTCGACTCTTCAGCACCTCCAACAGCACCAGAAGATATATATTTGGATGCAATATTTTGATTGCTTTCCATATTTAATAATTATTAAAATATCGCAACCAATATATAATCATTTCAACTCATGAATCACTCCGTGGGGTTTTGGGGTTTTGGGGTTTTGGGG